TTCACTATCTCTATAATTTCCTTTTCAACTATGGGCTTCAAGAACATAGAACTCATGTTCCTTTCAATTGTATTATTATTTATAGTGACGGATGTATCATCTGTACAAATGCTTCTTGCTAAACCAGGACCCACATTCACAAAAAACCTATTAAACTTCTCAACTACATCCTCCAATCTGTTGACCGGTGTATCATTGTCCATAAAATATTGAGGGTAGTTACTCCTGCTGGTACTGTTTCTAATCAATTTATTTAATATATTCCAAGTACCTTTCATGTTATTTTTATTATCCTCTAATACTTTAGAGTAATATTGTTTCTTACATATCCTCAATATATGTTGTTCTGTTATCTTGTATAACTTATATTTTTCTTCCGCCTTCTTTGAATTCCTTATATAATGCATTCTTCTTTTTACATGCATTCTGTAATCCCTTACTCATCCACGGTTTCCCACTGTAATTCCTTTTGTTTTTTCCCAGTCTTGCCCCATAAAGTCCTCTTTTAGCCTCCTTACAGCATGTTCGTTCATCACCCTCCTATAAAAAAGATTTGTTTTTGGCCTTTCTTTTCTATACTGGCAGTCATAAACCAAAAATACAGGTAAATGATCACTAATATCATTTATAAGTAATCCACTAGACATTTTGCTGTCAATATCATTAGTAAATATATTATCTATTAGTGTTGCATACTGGGTTGTTAATCTGGTTTGTTTTGTAATTTTTGGGAATAACCTACATCTATATAATGTGTTAATAAACTCCTCAGTTCCTGTGTGCTTGTTAGGATTTAACAAATCTATACTGAAGTCACCACATATGAACATTAATTTATGACTTATTGACGAGTAATTTTCTTCCATCCAGTCATTAAATTTTTCTATGCTGGCTCCAGGTGCTCTATAAATACAGATTACAACATTTTTCTTTTTTTCCAAAAGTAGATCAACAGTCACACATTCTAGTAAATTATCAACTACCCTGGTTTGCAGCTTTGTACAGTTCTTCCTTATTCCTTTAACAGGCAGGCACCTCTGGTCCTCTAGTCTGGCCTTTTTTAGTCAAACTGTCACAGCTACAATGTGTTAAGATACTGAAATGTAGTCAGCAGCTGAACACAATAAAATCTTTTTACTAATGGTTATGGTGAGGCAGAGCAGCTACAGAAATGACAGTCATTTGTCACCAGTGTTAGTAACCAATGGTTAATGCCACTTTATGTCAGCACATCAGATTTCAGAAAGGGGAGATTTCAAAAAGGCTGCTTATTGCAGTAACACCTTCCTACATGTTAATAAGTAGAGCAGCACCTTTTGCTTTGCCCTTGTGTTAAATGGGAGGAAAAAAATTGCTCAGTGTGCACACTGGTGCTGACCAATCCCAGTACTCACAGCACACATATAGCAGCTGCACCATATGGACATTCAGAGACATTCGTGGCACAGTCTGTAGCAGTTGTTTAATAGCATGATCTTTTTATGTTTAATTCTTTTTTTTCCCTGCTCCAGCTTTTCATAATGGCCATGCAGAGACCCCACTCTACCGCTTCTCTCTCTCTGATGGCACCCTAGTCACAGCCCAGACCAGGAGTGACCTCTGCAGGAATCCCAACACCAATGAACCACAGTCTTTCCTGTCTACACACTTGCTACAAAGGTGCAATTGCTATAACAATCAAAACCACACTGAATACGATTTCTACAATCTTGGATGATCGTCTGACTGCACTGTGGTTCTTAAATGCTGTTTTCAGTTATTTGTACATTTTTTTTGTATTTTGTTGTAGGGAGCAAAATGTTTATAGTGGAAACCAGGGAGGAGGCATGCGGCCTCAAAGCATGGGTGTGAGCAATCCCAACCAACAGATGAACATGGGGATGAACAGGGGCTACAACATGGCTGAACAGGGCAACATGACACAAAGAGGAGCCCCTCCATACACCGGAGCCAACCGCATGAATCCCATGAACCAGATGAATCAAATGAATCCCCTGAGTCAGATGAATTCCATGCATCAGATGAATCAAATGAATTCCATGCATCAGATGAGTAACATGGGCCAAATGAATCAGATGAATCACATGACTTCCATGCATCCAATGAACTCTCCCATGAACTCAATGAACCAAATGGGGCCCATGAACCAGATGGGCCACCATGGCATGCATCAGCAGCAGCACCAACATCAGCAAATGGGTCAGTTCCATGGAGGTGGAGGTGGACCTGGAGTTGGAGGGTATGGGATGGGAATGACCAGTCCCCCCCAGGCTAGTCCAGGGATTAATGGCCCCCCACATAACATCATGGGTTCACCCAGAATCCGAAGAAGTCCGAAGACCGGTGCCAGCCCCTTCTCTCCCGGAGGTACAAACAAAACTTATTCAGAGCTATCAAGAAGTATCTGTAACTTTTAATATACAGGTTAATTTGTTTTATTCATGAATTGTTCACATGCAGGTATGAACTCTCCCATGAGCTCCAGTCACCCCGGTAACTCTGCAGGTGGAGGTGCCACCTTCTCCAGCAGTTCCTTGAATGCCCTCCAAGCCATTAGTGAGGGAGTGGGAAATCCGATGCCCTCCCCACTCATGTCACCTCCCACTCACAAGCCTGACAGCTCCCCAAGCATCAATTCCACCAATCAGGCAGTAGTGGGACCTTGTAAACCAGGCCTCCCAGCCTACTCTGACTCAAAGAGTCCAGGAAACTCACTGGGGGCTGGGGGAGAACAGCAGCCTCAGCAGCACCCGCACACTCCAACCAGCGAGGGCCCTCCTGACAAGCCAGACAGCCAGGCCAGCAGAGAGGTGGGTACAGCTAGTGGAGAATCCAACCGACGTGTCTCTGACAACAAGTGCCACAAAAAGCTTCTGCAGCTCCTCACCTCCCCTACAGATGAGCTGGTGCCACCTAATCACACGCCGAGCTCCAGACCCGGTTCCACACCTGAGGCTAAAGATGGAACAGGGTCCGTCACCAGCCCATCTTCCTCAACGGGAGTGTCGTCGTCTACAGGCGGGAATCACAGCAGTGTGTCCTCTGGTGGAACAGGACATTTAACAAATCAGTCACTGCAGGAGAAGCACAAGATCCTCCACAAGCTCCTGCAGAATGGGAACACTCCTGATGAAGTGGCTCGCATCACAGCTGAGGCCACTGGGAAGAACGTCTTGGATTCAGGGCCAGCAGAGCCTGGGCCTGCAGCCCTTGGTGGTGTTAGGGGATCAGAATCAAAGCAGGAGCAGCACAGCCCAAAGAAGGAGAAGCACCATGCTCTCCTTCACTACCTCCTCAATAAGGATGATTCTAATGAAAGTGGTGACATGAAGCCAAAGCTGGAAGAGCTGGAGGGGAGAGGAGCTCATCTGTCACGAGTCAACAGCTCTGACCTTCACAGCATGGATGGGAAGGTCAAGTTGGAGCCATCTGATGAGGTAAGGCTTCTACCCCAAACAGCAAGTTGCTAAATGTAGTTTAAAATACTCAGTAGATCATTTTCCAATTGTTCTTGTGTCTTGGTGGTTCAGAGAGAGACCCTGGAGTCAATTCTTAGCGTCTCAAGGAACAACTCTGGTTTCTACGCTGAACCAGACTCCAGAGCAGGGAAGGAAGTGGTAAACAAACCAGGAAATATGCCTGATGGTTTACACGGTAAGTCAGTCAGTAAAATTGTTCATATTATACATCCATCCATCAATTTTCTATACCGCTTAGTACCAAATGGGGTCACGGGGGGCTGGAGCCAATCCCAGCCAGCTGCGGGCGAGAGGCGTCATATTATACAGTATAATTAAATTAAACACACAGTTAAATCTTACATTGGACTGCAGAAATGGTCATACTTGATGTATAAAAGCACAGAAAGAGGATGCTTTTGTAAGTCTCGCATAAGGTGTCACAGTGTGGATGCTCTTCTATCACTTACAGTCTTAATCTTACAACCTGTAAAGATATATAAGCTCATCTTGGTATTGTGTGTGTGTCTCAGATGGGGAGAGAGGCCCCATGCCTTCAGTTCAGCGTGGTGCCTTTCAGAGAGCCTTGTCCATGGATGCCAAGCCCATGGGTGGTGAGGGAGCAGTAGGGGCCGGGCTGGCTGTGAGAAGGAATGTCCCATGCCCCACGCTGGTCAACCAGGAGAACATGGATGCTCCAATCCGACCTGGGGCTGTGCCCAGTGGCTTTCCTGGAAGCATGGGTGTGTGTCTACCACGAGGTAATCTAAGAAGTAACTTGCACACTTATTTCTTAGCATGTCCAAGACAGCCTGGCTATCTGTATAGACCTGGGTCCCTGGCACTGACCTTACTGATGAAGCACTCAATGTAAATGGTCTTTGTGTTCTTCAGGAGGTATGGGCAGAGGAATAGGAATGCCCCAGTGCTCTCCCATGGCAGGGCCAGGGGAGTGGGGGATGCACAAATCCAGCATCAGTCCTGTTGGTGGACCGGGACACCCAGGCATGGGTCGCTCTGGCCCAATGGGAGGACCTATGATTAGCCGCTCCAACAGTGTCCCTGGAAACACCAGGTCTATGCTGCAGCAGCAACTGATGGATATGGGTATGTCATATGTCATCATTGTCATGTGTGAAACTGTAACCAGTGAATATATGGTGACTTTACATAATAGTTGCATAATATGATAAAGTAATAGAAATATCTGAATTGATCTTTTATGAATTCAACTGCAGGTCCCAGTGAAGTCAGTATGAGCCCGTTTGGTGGACATGGACCCCCACCTCAGTCCCCCTCCTGGCCAGACTCTGCCATGGGAATGGACAGACCACAGAATAACTCAACCAGGTAAACCTTTGGCATCAGTCCAAATCCTATTCCTCTGTAGTTGGCAGTTAATAGTGTCTTCAGTCTCCTTTTCTTGATCTGACTTAAAAAGACAAGGCCATTGTGTGTGTGTGTGTGTGTGTGTGTGTGTGTTTTTGTTTGTTTTTAACAAAGCAAAACAACAATTTGTGAACTCACCATAATGTTTGTGAATCCAAATACTGGTTTATCTTATTTGTTTATGCCATAGAGCTTCATTATTGTCCATACATTTTAAAAACACACCAACACTGCACCAGGTGACAAGTTTCTTTCTTCTGGGTTATGTGTTTTTTCAAAAAAGAGCTTCAAAGGCTAAAAACAGCCATTACATGTACAGTCCCTGAAGTGTATGACCATGACCCCTGCTCTGTTTACACTACTGTGCTATCTTCTCACTCTATACTTAACAATGCAAGTATGCCATGTTTTTCAACTTCTGGATTCACAGACATGATGATGAGTACAGAAAATACAGTGTTGATTTTAGTCTCTGTATGGGATTGGTGGAAAATAAAAATAGAACATCACTGACCTTATTCTTTGACATCTTGGTCATTTTTTGGGTTTAGGGACCAGTTTGCACATCCCCTGGATGAGCTACTGGGACCCCTGGCCAACAGTGAGGGCCCCAGTGATGAACGGGCACTCCTGGACCAGTTGGACTCTCTGCTCAACACCGCCGATGTCATTGCCCTGCAGGAAATTGACAGAGCCTTAGGCATCCCTGAAATAGTAGGCCAGGTACAGGACACATAACAGTATACTATGGGTAATCCCAGTTCCTTTACTTGATTGTTCCTTGCTGTTCAGTCCTTGCTTGTCCTGGAAGTTGTTGTGGTGCACTATTCCTGCTCTGAGGAGAGAGGAATGAAGAGCAAGGAGGCTGCCTGGAGGAGGCATGAGTGTGGGTACAGTCATTCTTTGTGGAAGTCTTTGACACACCCTTTATCGGAAATCAATAGCAATTTTTTTTTCAGAGGCGATTTAAACTCATCACAGATATTCACACCAAACATGAAACAAATATGGAATGTGAAGTCCTAAAAGGTGGTGCTACAACAGTCCAGATTAAGTGATGATGACCTGCAGGTGTTAGTTCTGCTAAATACAAGGAGTGCATCCTGTACTGATTAAAAGGCAACTTGAAAAGTTTCACTGCTTAATGCAGGAGTTGAAACTGTACAATGGTTGTTTCTGGACTACTTCAGGATGTCTGTGAGTTGTTGCTGTTGCCATAGCACTTGAAGAGCCAGAGGAGCAATTACAATGACCCAATTGATCTGGAATAGCACCAGGCTGTGTGTCTGAGGTAAAATATATACAGAACATGGCTGTAATAAATAGGTTTAGCTAACCGGTGCACCATGTGCTTCTGGTAACAGTGCTGCAGCGTTCCAGCAAGCTGTGTCGTGATTGGCAACAGGTGTCCCTGTCACTGGTGGAAAGTTGAAAAAAAATCCACCTTGGGGTGAAAGAAATTAATGCCACTTTTTACTTCACGATATTCCATCATTGATGTGCAACGGTTCAGTGACAGAATTTAGATTCGAAAATTATTATCGACATGCAAAGAAAATGCAAAAAAAAATTCATCTTCATTGTGAAAAGACCTTAAGACACGAGGAAAAGATGCAATTAAGGGAACTGGGATTTACCAATTATGTATCACATACACTCATTAACAAGATGGAAATACCAGTGTTAGCATCACTGGCCTGCCTAAAATGTGACTCTAAATTATAAAGTGTATTTTTAATATAAAGAAGCAATGTATATTGAAGTGTAATGTAAAATATGAATATCATGACTAAAATACTTAAAGTAATGTTAAGAAGCTCAGACAGTGGTTCAAAATCACCACACAAGTTTGTTTTGGCATTTCTGCTCTTCTGAGTAGACAGTTACATCTGTTGTGATTTGAACTTGAATGTTTATGGTAGCTTGTTGTTGTTTGGCCAGTCTGTAAAGCTGATCTGCTACTTCTGGTTCTGCATTTGTTGAAATAGCTAAATCAGTTACTCATAGCAGGTTTTGCCTTAATATGGAATCAAATTTGTATTACCCTCTCTGTACCCCAGACTCAGGGACCTGAAGGTCACCAGCAGGGTCAGGACCAAGGCCTGGGTCAGTGCCGGCCATCAGAGACTTTCCCAGGACATGATTCCTCTATAGGCATGGACCAAAAACCCATGTATGGCCAGGGCTACCCCGGGCCCCCAGGGCCCCCCTCCATTGGCATTCAGCCTGGTTATGGTGGACACGGGATGCAAGGCCAGACTCCCGGAGGCTTCAACCCCATGATGAATCAGATGGGTCAAACAGGGGGCTTCCCAGGCATGGGGGCTATGGGCAACCCCCGTGCAAACCTGATGAGGCCTCGCATGCTCCCCACTAAACCTCTGCGACTGCAGCTACAACAGAGACTGCAAGGGCAGCAGGTGAGCACACACAACACACAGATTAAATTCAACTATATAGTTGTACAGAAAATAGGGCAGGGCAGCTTGTTTCTTAGAGAGAGTGTTTGGCTTCTTGGCTGTGATGTTAGCAGTGAATGTCAAAATAAGCAAACTAGCATTATGACCCATCTTCATGTTGTCTCATCTGGCAGTTTATGAACCAGACCCGACAAGGCATGAAGATGGAAAATGCCCCCGCTGGAAACCCTGCCATGCGTCCAGCCATGCAACCTGGCATGCAGCCTGCAGGCATTGCTGGTCAGGTATGTAGTCAGCACTTCTTCATGAACTAATGTAGTGTGCTCACACTTGCCACTTTTAATAAAGTCAGTCCAGTCACCATTTGCAGAGTTAAGGTCAAAGCACTGCTGTTTTTCTGCAGCCTGGTTTCCTGAATGCCCAGATGATGGCTCAGCGCAGCAGGGAGATGGTGACCATGCAGATGAGGAGGCAGCGGATGATGATGCTGATGCAGCAGCAGCAGCAGCAGCAACAGGGGCAGGGGGCAGCAGGAGGTTTCAGTCCTCCCCCTAATGTCACTGCACCTGGAAGCATGGACAGCCCCATGGCAGCTGCCTCGCTGAACCAACCTGGACAGCAGGGCTTCAACTATGGAGGTAACTATGGTGAGTTGACTGAGACAGAGGTGGCTGCTTGTATCACTTCCTCCTGGATGTTCAAGTTTTCACACTTACACTCTCTTGTGTTCTTGTACTTGCAGGTATGAGCCAACAGGGGGACCCATCATTTATGTCTCCAGGTAGCAGCTCGCCAGGAAACATGATGCAAGGACGAATGGGAGGTCCTCCTCAGAACACCATGATGCCAGGAATGCAGGGGAATCCCCAGGGAGGGCCCATGTACCCATCTGGAGACCTGAAGGGCTGGCCCCAGGGTGGCATGCCACGCAACATGTGCGTAATGTCAGGTTTCTTTGACGAATATCTTTCTGTTTTTAGCACTGCATTTGAAACAGGGTTATTCTTTCATAATTAAGTTGGATGGGTAATTTGGGCTTGGCATAATTTACTTTTTTGATCTTCTAGTTCATACCCCCAGCAACAGTTCCCCCAGCAGGGCAACCAAGGCCAGTTTGGACCCATGATGATGAACAATTCCATGGGTGGACCTGGGCTGGTCAGTGGGGCCGGTGCAGGACAGATGAGCCCAATACCAGGGCAGATACAAGGTCAGATGCAGGGCCAAATGGGCATGAACACCATGGGAATGGGCAGAATGCCAATGGGACCTGATCAGGTACAAGGTTCAGCTAAAGCTTGATTTATGGTCCTGCGTTGAATCTATGTGGAGTCTACCCTGTAGGCTACATAAGTGGCGTGCACCGTTGTGAGAATTTATACTTGTGCACTGGTGCGTCTGTCACCCTGCAATTACACCGCCAAAACGTTTGTTGGAGATGATGTGTTTATTACACTGCTGCATTTCTTCGCCACTTATAAACCACCGTGACTGAAAGTGAGCAGGTCATATTGAAGTTAAAGCTAATAGATGTTGAACAACCGTTACTTTTACTGACATTACTGAAACACAGATAGGAGAGAAGATGTCAGAGGAGTTGGTCTGTACGACCACTGAACCAACTGAGGCAGAACAAGAGAGGAATCCTGTACTTGTCCGGCCACTGAGAGATATGAACGAGGAAATGCGATACAAACAGTCACAGTTGTTGTTGACTGTGTCTCTGCAACGTGCAGTTACATTTCTGGAGAGGTACACATCAGGCGACAGCATAGAGTACAAGGCCACATGTTATCTAAACTGTGGGTACGATGTAGATTTAATGCAGAACCATAAATCGAACTTTACATTTAAAGCTTTGATGAAAGACATAATAGACATTTAAAATGTTGCGTTTTTATACATCCCACTATTATTCTGGCTCTGCAGAAGTATTGTTGAGGACAGCAGAATCTGGAGCCTGTCAGCTGTGCAGAGCAATCTGGGCCAGGAAGAGAGCTGGATTTAGACACACACACACACACACACACACACACACACACACACAGCAGGAGTTCCTCAGCATAAAACATGGTGCAGGAGACTCAGCACTGCATACTGCACATCCTGGGAGAAGTGGGCATCAAGGTTCATCCCCATCTGAAGCCTCACATGTTGTAACCCTGTTTAGGTAATGCAATGGTAATGCAAAAATATCAGTGTTTGTGTGTTTGTGTGTCTTCACTCGAGCTGCTTGGCACAACCAGGCTGCAGTATGGGACTACGGTACAACTGGCTGTGGCTGCACTTTACCAGGAGGCTTCTGTGTGGAATAAAGATTGATGCAATATATCTTCATCATTACAGCCTTACTAGAGATTCAATGCCTTCACAACAATGGGTTTCTGTTTGTTTAAGTTTTGTTTGTTTGTTTGTTTCTTATCCTCTGGATGCGCCTCATTCTTATGTCATTGGAAGCTATAAGCACACAGTTTACTATGTTATGCAGATTGGAGCAATAACTCACATCTCTATGCTTTCGACTGTAACTGAGCATCTTTACTCCTGTTATAAGCAAAATGGTACTGCAGTATTAGATGTATCAAATGTCCTCTGTGAATATAAATTGTAAATATTCTACAAAATATATCAAACCTGCTTTTTAAAGGCCCATTATTGCACAGCATATGAGACCAGGTTGTATTTTTTTGTCCCATAGGTCAATACTGATTTGGTTAATTTGCTTTTTTTTATGCCTTTGCAAATATTGCAGGCATGTTTGGGTTTTCCTTCTTCTGTCATTGTCTGAATTCTGAATGTTGTTTTTTTTTTTTTTTACTTTTTCAACAAAAAAAAAAGCTATGTCTTTCATGTTAAAGTAAGGCACTTTTAACTTGTAATGAGGATCCGATGAGTTGAAGATGTGAGCTTTCTCACTGTCAGATGTTTTATTGGATGGTGGTGCAAGTGACCTTTACCAGGACAGTCCATTATGTCATGTTGTTATTTTGTGTGATCATGTGTTAGCTGAGCTGTGTGTGTGTTTGCTCGTCTGCAGCACAGTGGAGGACAGAAACACTCTTCAGCTCGCTAACAGGCCTGGTCCTTGCAGTGTTTTCCCCTTCTCATCAGCTCCGTCATGTATTTTTTATTTACACATTTTATTCTTGTTTTAACTGTTAGTCTGAACTTGCCGAATCTACCTTTTCAACACGCGCAATCCAAAGATATTTTTCCAGTTTTCTGTATAGTTTCTGAGGTTTCTGGTGTACATTTTTTTGTGATATGCGTTATGTTATTCTGGTGGTAAATGGGTACATATCATGGATCTGTAATAGCATATGATGGCCATGTACTGTAAACAGAAAGGCCACGGGGCTAATAAGTTGTTCGTCCATGCGATGGCGATCAGCGCAGAATGAAGAGGACTGGAAACTCTCAACCCCCCACAGCAGAACGTTTATACACCCAGAAAAACCCACACACACACAAAAGCATGTCTGCTGTGAAAGAGAATTACTGATGGAATGAAATCCACTTTTAAGACGACATATCAATATCTCTTCTATTTTTCAGGAAACAATTTCATTTTATGTCCAGATTTTGTTACTTAAGGAAAAAGGAACTTTTTAAAAAGAGTTTGAAATCCAGAAAGCGGCAAGAGATCATTTGGTTTGATTTTCTGTGGAGGTAAGATAAGCTTTCATTTTGCGGGATGTATATCACAGTTTTTTTTTTTTTTCTTCTGATGATGTTGATATTGATGTAAATACAAATTTCTATTTAAATACTCTTGACTCTGGTTCTCTAATTATCTGCTCACTGTGGTTATGAGCAGCGATGCAACCACATAATGTTCTCAGTTCTCATACTGGTAACTATCAGCCTGTATATTCACTGACAAAAAACAAAAAGAGGGGTGGAGGGCTGCAGTTTTCATGTTATTGCAGAAAACTTATGAAGGATTCATTCATGTCCATGTTTAAATTGAATATTCTTCTGTCAGAATAAAAGCTGCATTGTTTTGATTTTCTGTGATGCTCCCTGCTAGAAGAACTCGGATACACACTGTAATATCAGGGTATTGTTACTGATTTGTGTAAGAAGCATTTTAATATTGTGGATGGCAGAGCTGGGACTAATATAACTGCTTTGCATACTGTTGGATAGTGCAGTGCATTATATTTTAATTTTATTTTTAGGATAATCACATGGTGTGTGTGTGTGTGTGTGTGTGTGTGTGTGTGTGTGTGTGTGTGTAAAAACTGCAACATTATACAGTGTATAAGTTGCTACGGAGTATAAAGGACTATTTTCTCAAATGTAGTGGAGTGCAAGTATAGAGTAGCATTTTATGGCGATATTTAAGTACAAGCACCTCAAAAATGTGTTTAAATATACTGTACAATGCGACTAACAATGTTTTAATTTTGAGTGTTCAGTTATTAACAAATGTGCTTAAGAAAAGTTAGTTTAGTGCCAAATGCCACAGAGTAGGAACATCAGTGTTACCACAAGGGGGCGTCGTTGTCTACTCCAGTTTTCTCCAACATAACCATCAGCTCACAGAGCAGCTAATACTGTGCAGGCTCGTTACAGGCTGCAGTTCATCTCATTGGTCACACGGGGGCGCTAACTGCAAGTGAGAGTCGGAGGCGGGGACATCAGAGTTGACTCACTATAAAGGGAATCTAAGTATATGAAATAAGAAAAAAGGAAACAAAAAATCTATAATAGAACCTTAATTTGACTTGATGTGGTACTAAAGTGTCCAATAGACGTGCTAAGGAGACCACAATAGCCTGGTCTTCACTTTCTCCACTGCTCTGCAAGATTACGTAAGAGATTTGTCGCTGGCACATAGATGTGCCAAACAAATCAGAAAGGAAGGACTACACTTGATTTACCGGTATAAAGGAAAACATTGAAAGAATTTGTATATGTTAAACAGTTCGATTCAGCCACTTATGGACACTTCTCTAACAGCTCAAGCAGTGTCAAAAAGGAAGTGTACATAGGATTAATAGTCAACTTATAACATCCAACTGTACTGTGAGAATCTCTACCCCAGAGCAACGCTCTCTCTCCCTCTGAGTGTTGGCGTGGTTCCCGGCCCATCTGCGGCCTGGCCCGTAGATTACTGTTTGTTAATGTTTCAATCAGCTGTGTGTTGAGGAATGTGGAGCTATTTAACCTGAACTTCCCCAGGTGTGCCGAGGCGCCGCTCAGTCTGGGCCCCGCCGCCCTCCCCTGCCCTTGGCACAAAGCTATCACACAAACACAATCACACACTGGCCACGGCGGGGCTGCAGCTGTGCGCATCTCACCGCAGGGAAATGGGAAAAACATTGCACCAGGGAGACAGAATAAATCTTATAACGAATCGCTACACCAAAGCCATTTTAACCCGCGCAGTGCCGAGAGAGACTAAAAGAGCTGCTGATTTACACCATAACGTTTTGAAACAGCTTATTCAAATGGACGTTTTATGAAACTTATATCATATATAGCTTCATTTGTCTTTAATTAACCATCTTACATCACTTATTCTTGGTCAGTGACTCTAATAAACACATCAAATCTTTAATTCTTAAATATTCATTGACTTCAATTATTGGGTTTATATTATACTTTATTTAAAACTATCAATTTGTCAAGATCTTTTGACCTCACGATTTTGATGTGAGACTTCCTCTTGAAATGTGATACGGTAATGACCCACAAAGAAGCAAATTACCAATTTAACTGGCTGTGCGCCATTATGTTGTCCACCAGCTTTGGTTTTAAGTTACAGGAATGACTTAACATCTTCATCTAGCTGTAGGATAGTGGCAGCCACTTCAAACTTCACGGGTACTCGGCTAGATCATGAGCTATTCAGACGATTATGACTTGGACTGTGATAAATCGCAACGAATAAGACTATAACTTCCCATAATAACCAGTCAAGACCCCACTGCAGTAAGGAAATCAATACTGAAACCCCCATAGTTGTAATGTGATACTAAATTTATGCCAGTCTTTCTCCCTCTCCCCCCAAAACATAAACACACTGACACTGAAGTATTCTTGTTCAAAAATAATTGTCTTGTTTTAATAAAAACACCAATAAGGGTACATTGTAAGAAAACAATATCTTCACATAATATGGCATTGTAATATACAATACAGTTTGTCGCTCAGGAATCTGAGAAATGTACTTTTTTCCTTTACAAAATGTTGAATTCTCTATGGTTTACATAAGATACAAAGAGCGTAACAAAAACATTAGCTTTTTTTTAAACTCTACAAGCAACAAGCGACGCTGGTTGCACTGAACTCGTCTTGATCCCCCCGGATAACGCAGATTATATCCGGACACCACCGGTCTTCTTCCTCTCTCGGAGCCCTCTAATGAATCGAGAGCCGTGAGTGACAGAGATCCTCGCCGCCGGAGAATGTCCGCACAACGATATTTGTCTACTTTTGGGAGTTTGAAACGTCCCTACGCTGTTCAAGGTTTTCTTTCCTTTTTTAATTGATGCGTTCGAGGTGTCACATCAGGTAACCTTGTTCGTTCTTTCCGATGCTGGCTGTGGGATGGTGGTGCGATGCTCCCCGGGCTCTTAACGGCACATTATCCTGTCGTCTGAGCATCCATTCTGCGAGGGAAAAGAAAGGAAAGCTATTTAGTACAAGTGGGTTATGTGGACACAGAGCTGTCACTATCAAAGCTGTGCGCAAAAAGAATTTTTACCCATGGACTTGGCAGCTTTACGCACACCTACTGTGGCATTCGAAAACATGCTACAGCGGCGCATGCAGCTCTGTAGAGCACTGGGCTATGCTGAAGTATACGTAACACGATATTTACCTCCACTGAGATGCTGGCGAGCTCTGCGTTCAGGGTGGTCAGCGGTGTGCGGGGGACGCTGCTGGTGGAGTGTTGGCGGCTCTTCTCCGGCTCGTCCAGTTCGACCTGCAGGTCCCATATGTAGTCAATGACATGCTGCAGGATTTCCACTTTGCTGGCCTTCTTGTTGGTGGGCAGAGTGGGCACGAGCTCCTTCAGCTTGCTATAGCAGCTATTCATGTCCTGGAGGAAGACGCTCATGTGTTCGTCCAGCAGCGGGATCTTGCACTTGGAGATGGCTAGGCTCTGATCGGACAGGCAGTGCACCACGTCCTCGCCACCGACCTTGCTCTTCAGGGCGCAAGTAGATCCGACAACTTTCATCTTGATTAGTGTAGGTGGTGTACTTTCCAAAGAAGATGAGGTAAAAAGTAGAGCAGTTAAACAATAAGACTTCTCGTCTTCGAGTTTGTGTCTAGGAAATGTTGACAGTTCTTCAACATCCACATGGGTAAACCCTCCTCTATTTTATAGTAAAGCCGGAGTAGAGGGCGTACTCGAATTGTCCTGTTTGAAGCCGGTGAACCAATAAGATGGCTGCGTTTGTATTAATAGGTCGGTCCACAACCGCACTCTCAGCCAATGACTGGCTCGCCTGGTTATCGGGATTTACAATCTGTTTGAGGGATGGCGTTACAAATGGAAACAAATGTGTGTCTTTTATGGGTAAAATGTGGGAATCCAGCTGTCCATGGCTTGGGGACTCTGCAGGTGTAGATTGCCTGGGGACAGTCAAGGGGTGGTGAATGCCTTGGTATGTATTGTGAGGATGTGTGTGGGACGGGACAGGATGAATGGCTAATGATAATTAGGCTACCACAGTGCCCTAGATTTGCCTCTCACAATCGGTGACTGCACTGCAGATGTGGATGACAGTAGTACAGTAAAGTTAGAGAATTGATTACATACAAATGACAAGCAACTTGGGGAACGATTCACTAATTTTTAAATTATTTCAAGATTATGAAGTTTATTCATAATAACCTTTTTGTGAACTGGGTAGAATGCAAGTGACTAAATGGATTAGTAGTTTATTAGTTTAATAACATTACAGTTTGAGGGCAGACTGTCGATTGTTTTAGAACGTGCTGCGGTTTTTCCCACAGCACTGCTCTCTGGACAGAATCTCGGCTTTTTAACTCAAAGCTTTCTTTATGCTCACAAATATTGCACTTTTCTCAACGCACAGAGCCTCTTTTTGCTGCTTCTGTGTGCTGAAGGAAGCCCAGTGTGAGCCGCAGCGGCTCCACGGATTCCTTTACATGTTTCTGCAGTATGTGCGCAGCCTGCTGCTCTGCACACTCACATGGCATCGCTCTGTTCTGGATCTTCCAACCCAGATTGTCCAAACAAGCCCGAGCAGACTGGCAGGCGCCAGCGCGGTGACGTCATCCATTCATCCGAGCCTTGACGCCTGTCAGCCTGGCGCCGCTCGGACGGTCTCCATGGAGACGTCAAACAAGAGCGCTCACACTCTGCGCTCCTCCATTCACCTGCGTGGCGCGCGGAGCCCTGAGAACAAACCGGCTCCGGAGCTTTGTCGTTCATTTATCACCTTAAAGCAGTGGGATGAGATTACCGCCCAGCGCACCTGCACAGGAGGAGGAAGGCTCTGCTGCCGCATCTTAGCACCAAATAACTGTTGCATTCCTTCACGGCCCACTTTCACTGTGCATGCCCCCATGGTTAGCCTGCTAGGCTGTACAACTTTTGTTACTTGATTTGTACATTTTATTTTCTTTGTTTTGGCTTTATTTTGAATTTGGTTTCGACTGCATGATGCTTCACGTTATGTTATAGTAAAGATACGTTTAAGGAATAACACGAACACGTATATTCATTCCCAAACCAACTATTTACTGACTCCAGGTCCTGTTTAAAACCAATGTTTTCAATATTTTTCACAGTTATAATGCATAAATTGTATAGAAACCTAATGTCAATAACGGAAGTTCTCAGATGTGTCCTTAAATAAAAACCACTGCACTTAAAAAACACTGCAACACAAATACAAAATCCCTGCATTCTTAAGTATCAGTATGTATTGAAAAGTAGCCTTCTCAGTATGCCTACACAATTCCAGGACCCACGTGATGGTTACCATGTATTAGGCTATGTTATTATCATTAGTGATGTATTAAAGTGTTAATAGTCCATTAATATTGCACCTGAATCTATTTTTCTACATTATGTATTACTGGGTATTTTAATCTATAACACTGCAACAAGATATAAGTTGTAAACCAATCATATGTGATATATAAACAATCAGGATATGTAAAGTGACTAGTAACCATAGCTGTGAAACAAAATCAGTGGAGTAAAAAGTAGCTTTCCTCCGAAATGCTGTGAAAGTACCTCAACTACCTCAGAATTGTATTTAAGTACATTACCTGAGCTAATGTACTTAGTCACTGTTACTGTTGTCTAATGGCCACAAGCAGTTTTTGCAGATTTTTTGACAGTGTAACTAATATTCTGGTATTTGTACAGACTGATGCAATGTAGTTTTACATTCATTTGCAGAAAAAAATTAAGAACATCATGGTCACTTCAGATTTTGTAATATAAATGCAATTTGCTTGTATCTTCACAGATGTTACACCAGACCAAAGATAACACCAGCAGTGCTGTCTTGTAACAAAGTTAAATGCCACCAGGACTGTTCCTTCTAGCTGCAGTAGCCTGTAAAAACTTTTTTTATATATATACTTTCTTTTTTCCCTTTCTTTTCTGCCCTCTGTCCTAGGTCGCAACTGACAGGGCGGAGGGAGGGCCGGGTGGGCAGAACAATGGGAGTGCGGCGCAGGGATTGTGGGAGAGAATCTAGGCTGGAGCCACAGTGTCTGGAGCGCCCCTCCACTCCCCTCATCCAGCTTTTGTTCAGCTGCAAAAGCTATCAGCACTTCCTACTGACACCAACAATAACTCCACACAGCTGGGCCCTTTTTAGCCTGTTTACAGCACATCAAGGCGAGGGGAGAGAGAAGACACGAGGAAGACGCAGAGGAGGAGAAAGAAAAGTGAAACATATTAGCTTGTGATTTTAACTGACAGCACCGTGCCCAGCTCCCCTTCCCTCCTTCACTGCTGACACAGAATTCATTTCCCAGTGGACTCTTTATATTTTAGCCGATTACCACTTAGTGTTTTATGTCTATAACTGGCTACTGTTTGTGTCAGTGCTGTTGCAACATCCTACATCTATCAAACTGCAGAAAGGCAACACTTGCCTTTTTTTCAGTACATTGTGTATCGTGGCTATATTTGTGCCAACACACAAACCATTTCCCAGTAGCGTTTTTCAGGATAAATTGTTCCATTTGGTGCAGGGGAAACATATTAGCTAATACGCCCTCTTTATCGTTACAGCAAATAGATCTAGAAAAGCACACTACAGGAAACCACAAGGGGAAAAGTTGGTGCAGGAATTCGTTCAGAGGAAATAGGACATTCCAGCAATGCTTTCACACTTTTGCTGCTGTTATTATTGCTGTGGGGACAATAAGTAGTACTCGTACTACTTCCTGAAACATGAAAGTGGCCAAGCTACAATAATAGCAGAGGAGAATAAATGGTTTCTTAGACAGATGGTTTTATTTCAGCATGGTTATTGTGATACACTGTTGAAAAGAAATGGGGAGGAATTTGATTATGAGAGAAGAGCACCACATGCAAGTTTTCAACAATTTTTACTCTCTCTCCCTCTCACACACACACACACACATGGGCCATCTCCTCGCAGCTGTGGGATTAGTTTCCAGTTCCCAGTCAGGCTCTTCCTGTTTGCTTGATAATGATCACACCTGTGTGCAGGTGTGTGGAGTGGCTCATATGGGACTGGGAGGTGTGTGTGTGTTGTGTCAGATACAAAAATGTTTACCACACCACAATGTCACATGTGGGATGACTGACTAATGGCACTTAGGACTCATCAGTCACGGGGGAGGATATTTCTGCTGAATGTGAGAATTTGTGATGCTGTGGGTTTCTGCTTCTGTGAGTGTTTGTTATGTATGTTTTTGCCTGGATTCCTGGTGTGGCCTGGCACCTCCCTGGGCAGCTCAGCCTCTGTAATAACTGTGAAGTCGTGGTTGGGAGTCACTTCCTGTGGGAGTCCTGGTTCAGAAATGTGTCATCAGCACTGCAGACTGACTGGAGCCTCACCGCCTGTTGGGCGTTTTTCCTGTGTGCAGGCAGAAGACTTGGAGGGTGGGTGGATGCCCTTCCCTGAGAGCCAGGGGCAGGTTACAGAAGCGCTGTCGCCATATGTGAAGCCTTCCAGAGATCCTTGAAACCCCACAGGTGTCCTTTTTGCGCTGCGTCCTTGGCCCAGGAGGACTTGCAGGGACAGCTTGGTCTTTCTTTATCTCTTCCTCTCACTTCTGTACATGTGTATGTGCATGTGTGCATTCACTGGGCCCAAAACTCACCCCTCCTTCACACTCCTATGGTCATCTCCCTCCGCCTGGTTCCCACACACACTATCAAAGCCCTTTAATGGCTTCTAATTAGCTCCCCATCTGCTGGTGACAGCACACTGGTGGCATGCTAAAGCACCCATTGAGAGCATAGGCATTGTGCTCTGGAATACTTTCCACTCCAGTGGCAATTGCCTGGAGAGAGAGCTTTAGTTGAGGGGGTGGAGGGGAGGAGGTGCTGGGGTGGAGCAGGGTGAGGAGATGGTGTGGGAGGGGTGCTGTGTAGTGTTTTCTGTGGTCAGGAACTTGGGGGAAACTGAGGTGGTGGGACACACAATAGAAGACAGTGTTATGTCTACTTGTTATGGCTCTAATAACGCCTCTCTCTGCTGCCCGCTGGTCATCACCCCCCAGCACCACCAGCAACTATCTCACAGTCCCACCCCTCCCTCTACTTCTTTCACTTTAGCAACAGTTTGCCTGTGACATCACACAGCAGACATCAGGGTGAGTTAACAACTTTGCGCTGCAGCTATGGTGAAACTGGCAACACAACCTGATGAGGTGCTCCATTGTCCCTTGGAGCCCCATGGCTATAGCTGACCTCTCAGACTGAACAATAGATGCACCTCTATAGAAACTGTAAATGTAGCCTAATGGGCCTCTTCATTAGCAGAACCTGTCGAGGTGTGAATGCTGTCTGTTTGTCAGATCCTTTAAGGCCTTCTCCTTTTCGTGACTTCCAGCAGGGCCTAGGCCCACCGGTAGCAGAAGGGGAGACCAGCTGTTCTCAGCTGGTAGCCAGAAGATGCCTATGGGGGACAGGCCTGATTACTGCTGGCCAGCTGCCCCCTGCTGTAGGAGGGAGATGGAGAACAAACAAATAACTGCTTCTGGGAACCTATCAGATCAGCTCCAGTAATGTCCCTGCTCTGTGTCCGCCATCTGCTATTTTACCCATCAGACAGCATTGTTGGACTGGATGGAGGAATCATGGATAAATATACATATTCTGTACATACAGTATATA